AAAAAAAAAAAAAAAAAAAAAAAAAAAATACGAACCGACTGCCGTAAGAGCACTGGGTGCTACGTATCCAACTGGTTTAGAGGGATATTGATACGGAATTCGTGGCTTTGAAAGTTCGATTATTCGTGGTGATGCTTTTGGGATCTGCGATAGATTTGATCGTACTTGAAATTGCTTCTCATCGATTCGCTGCCGTGGTTGGGCTAATTGATTAGTGCGTTCGGTTATTTCATAAAGGAGAGCCGATGCTTTCACCTATTACAGGTAAAGTACAATTCCGTTTCACATGCGATGTGACAATAAAGTTTCGAAAATAATTTGTTTAACCCTCGCAATCCGATGGCTGAGTTACTTTTTGATCCAGTCGACAATGATGCTAATTTGGTGGCTAATTAAATAAGTTTAATTAGATGTAATATTATTTTAAATTTAGTATTAATTTTTTTTTTTCAAAATTAAGTGAATTTGCATTTATGATCTGGAACGTGTATACCCAGGCTCGTACTTCGAGGGTTAAAGTACGTAGTATATGTACGTAGCATCGAGATCCATCGTTTATAATATATCTAATAACTCACTTTCTGGTATCTGCATGTGGATACTTATGTTTCTCAAGTTCACGTGTACACTGCGGGGTTAAGTTATATATTTTTCAATGTGTGTGTCATTTCGAACGAAAGTCATACACTTACGTGGCTAGATTCTAAAATAATTTCGTTGTAGGTCTTGGTCTTCAATTTTGTAATTTTCGAAGCGATGTTTCGTTTCGCAGACTGTTTAAGGGATTTATCTGCATTCGCATAATCAGATACTGGAGTTAATATGTTATTGTTACGGTTTTCTTGCGATTTTGTGAACTTGCTCACGAACATCTTGCCAAAGCAATTAAACGATTCATCTGATCCCCAGTGTCGAGTAGTGAGTAACGTAGCCATTTTTCTTGATAATATATATAATAAACTTAATAAATTTTCTACATTATGGGAAAAGTCAACTTTATCTTTTTTTTTTAATTTATCGATTTTTCATTCCGTGTGACATATTGTGTACACGGGATTTTCTGTTGAACAACGAAAGATCAAATATTTCCATTGCCTTCTTGAATTATAAATTTAAATTTTGAGATCGAACGCAATACATATCTTAAATATACCTGCGAATTTTTGAAATAGTAAAAATGGTTTATGATTACTTGCCATCAAACATGAAAATCTTGTCATTTTAACATGAAAATATTTGCGACATATTGCTATATATATATATATATGTTTTAAATGTTTCATTGATATCGAATTTTTTTATTTATATTTAAGAAAAATTAATAATTTTTGTTTTTTAATGTTACAGATAGTTCCATGGGATATAATATTAACGCGCAAAAAAATTTTAAAAACGAATATGTGCAAGCTGTGAACACGTAAGCAGTATTTTCAGTATTAAAATTATTCATATTAAAAGAAGATATATTATAATATATATAAGTATATTTTTTTTAGATTAGCTTCTATTTCGCAAAGAAGATTTCTAAACGTGTGGATGTCCTTCGATCCAATTTTTAAGTTAACATCGTGGGGGAAAAAACATGATCATGCACTTAGTGTTACTCATGCATTTGTCAATAAAGTAAATATAATTTTTTTTATTCAAAATAATTATAATAATTTTTGCTTCGTTTAAATATAAATATAAAATATAAAAATAACTTTTTAATTAATATAAAAATTCGAGATATTTAATATTATAAAGAATTAAAATTATTATATATTATAAATTATTATATAATAAGAATTAAAATATTATTTTTTGATTATAGATAATCGCGGAAAGAAAAGCCGAGTGGAAAGATAGAAAAGATACAAATTTTAATGAAAAATCTCATAAACGTCAAGCTTTATTGGATTTATTATTAGAATTATCAAAAGATGGTAAAGTTCTCACCGATGATGATATTCGGGATGAAGTGAACACATTCATGTTCGCTGGACACGATACTACTGCGACTAGCGTATCATGGATTTTGTATGCATTGGGAAGACATCCTCAATATCAAGTATAGAAATTCTATATAATATAATTATATTACAGTATATTATAGTTTTTATAGTTTGTAACAAATCATTATCTTACAATTTTTATTATTTCTCATTTTAGGAATTAATCATTGAAGAATATTATGAAACAGTAGGGACGAAAGAATTAACTTTAGATATATTAAGTAAATTAACATGGCTAGAAGCGTGCATAAAAGAATCATGGAGACTTTATCCAGTAACACCACTCATCGCAAGACAAATCTATCATCCTATTACTATCTGTAAATATTACTTGTTTAAAAATATAAGAGTTTAAGATCTTTTCAATTTGAAATTCTTATTTTCACAGAACAGGATATTTTTTAAATAAATTAATTCGTTTTTAGTGGGACATGAAATTCCAATAGGATCGACGGTTCTCGTTAATTCATTTCTTCTTCACCGAGATTCTCGATATTTTCCAGAACCAGATATTTATCGACCAGAACGATTTCTTCCTAATGGACCAAAATATCCTTCTTACGCTTTTGTTCCCTTTAGTGCTGGTTCCCGTAATTGTATCGGATGGAAATATGCTACAATGATCGTTAAAGTTCTTATTTTGTATATATTGAAAAACTTCCATGTTGAATCTTTAGATACTGAAGATCAACTTCGTTTTATTTCTGAATTAGTATTACACAATGCTAATGGGCTTAAATTAAAAATTACACCACGAAAATAAGCATTTTTTGCTTGATTTTATTGTAACAATTTAAAATCAAATGAAATAATGAAAATCAAAGATATCTTTTTTGATAATAAGTAAAAGCTAATTTTTTTTTTTTTGCACATTCAAATCAGATATTTTTTTTTTTTTTTTTGAATTAATCATAATTCTATTCAAATTGAAATAAATATTAGAAAAAATTAAATTAATGAAATTTATAATGATTAATAAGAAATTTATATTTCATATTTTTGTGTCTTTATACATATATATGATTAAACTTAAAATTACTATATGTAGAACAATTTGTGTTTTATTATGAAGATTAGATAGGAATATAATTTTTATATTTTTTTCTGTACAATTACTTTATGTCTTTCAAATGTTCTTTAAAATTGTTATATTTGCAATTCTTACTATTTCATTTTTATTAACAATGATTTTTGTTAATAACTAGGTTTCTTAAGACAATTATAACAATTTTAAAATTTCAAAACATTGATGAAATTAATGAAATTGATGAAATTATTATTAATTATATTTTTCTAATACTTTCTAATACTTTTCTATAATCATAAAAAAAATAGAAAATGTTACATTATATAATAACTAAAAAATAATTCTTTATTAGAAGAGAAAGTGATATTAAGTTTCTCGTATATATTTTTATTAGATTATTGTAAAATTTCATTATTAAGTACTTTACATATATAATGTGAAGGAATAAAAGTATAATTGTTATATTGTGATATTTTATAATATCTTTAGTTTTTAAGATGTATAAATATGATAAGATGTTATACAAATAATATTTTTAAGCTTTTATCTATTTGTATTTAACAAATAAAGCATTACATTTTATTACAAAAAACTTTTAAAATAAATTTTAATAAATACAATCATATTTATATGTATGTGTGCATCAGAATGTGTGTGATTTATTTAATATTATTATATAAATGTATAAATATCTCGAAAAATATAAATGATAAATTGAAAATAAAAAAATAAATAAGTTGAAAAAGTTATAATTTTAAAGTGATTTAAATTAATTGATTTACTGATCTAACATAATTAAATTAATAATTAAATTTTTTAGAAACTTATGATTATATATTTAATATGTATTTAATTTTGTGTTTGAAATTAAATACATAAAATTATTAAATTAAATAGATAAATAAAACAAAAATAAAAATTATATGTGTTTGAATGATATTCCACATTTTATTTATAATTGTACGTCAAAAATGTATAGACAAAGAAAACAAATAGCAAAAAGGATAGAAAAACGTTAATAATAAAATCACTAGACTCAAATGAAATATATAAAGAAAAAACAGAAAATAGGAAAAAAATAGAAGTAGAATAAGAAATGATTATCAACGCTATCTCTTGAGTATTGAAACAGTCGAAACAGGATAAAATAAGAATTAAGAATTAATGTCATCTCTTGAGTGTTTTGAATATTATATTTTGAAATAATATTTTTGACATTTGATGATATGTAAGAGAAAGACTAACAAGTTTCTGAAATCAACGTCATTTCGTGTTTGGATTCTGGAAACTCTGATTTATTATTAATATAACAGAATATGCGAGAAGGTATATATTATAGGCAAGGAAAACAACACTATGTAAAAAGAATAGAGACATTCTCTACTTTGAGACGCCATATGGAAAATTTATTAATTATTCGTTTTGTATTAAAAATTTCAGCATTTTTAAATTCACATCTTAAAACAAAAATTTCAGATAAGTTTCTCAATATTAATTTTAATATTAAATTCTTTTTTATATATTATTTATTAACGATTATCATAAATATATCTTAGTTAAATTTGCATTTTTTAATCCAATATAAAATCAATTTATTTATTTAAATTACAATAAAATTATAAATAAAATTCATATGTGAAAGTAGAGAAAGAAATAACATTTTAAATGAATATAATCATATTTAGAAATAAATCTTATAATAATGAAACATTAATGAAAAAATTATTGTGTTTAATTATTGATATTAGATATGACGAATTACTAAATAATTAATTAAGAAGAGTTTTACGTTAAATTTGATATGAGAAATTTGTTTCAACTTAGTTTCAAAATGCGAATTTAAAAATATCGAAATTTAAAAAAAAACGAATAATTAATAAATTTTCAATATAATATTTTCGATACATTAAAAGGTATGATACGTTAATCGTTAATAAATAATTAATGATAAACAATTTATATATTAAAATTAATATGAAAATTTTATTTAGAGATTTAATTTCAAAATATGAGATTGAAAATACCGAAATTTTTAGTAGAAAACGAGTAATTAATGAATTTTCAATATAGCGTCTTTGAAATATTGAAAAATATTTTGTATGTTTTGATGTATTAATCCTTAAAAAAATAATTAATAAAAATAAATTTTACATTAAAATTGATACGAGAAATTTATCTAAAGTTCTAGCTTCAAGATGCGAGTTCAAAACTACCGAAATTTTGAATAAAAAACGAATAATTAATGAATATTCAATATTATATCTTTAAAATGGCGAAAGATAATTTCTATCCTTGTTGCACAATATTGCTTTCTTTGTCTCTGACTTCAAATACCTCCTTGCACATTTTGTTATGCTAATAATAAGTTAGAGCTTCGGATGTTCAAACGCGAGATGGCGCGAAATGGCGAGATAGATTAATTTAAAAAAAATTTTAATTTGCTATTTCATTTATTGGCAAAATATATTTTATCAACAATTAGAATAAAATTAAAAAAAAAACAAACGAATTAGATTAATTATAATTTAAAATTCAAAATATAAAAATGTTAAAATTAAACAAAAATGTATGAGTAATATAGAAGCGAATAATAAAAAAGAACATTTGTTTATATATGTGTAAATATTTTTATAATTGCGATTTTTAGAAAATTTTTAGAAATTTCTATATACATAAAATATATATAGTTCTTATAACATATCAATACATATATATTTATAAGAATATCAATACATGTTGAAATATTTATCTAAATTTCTAATCAGTAAAACAAGCAAAATTTTATCTTTATAGTATTCGAAAAATGGCGCTAATTCTACAATTTTTAATTCTACAATCTATCTTTATTTTTTTCTTATTTTGCTTTCTTTATTTATTTTTGTTCTTTAAAATTTATATGCCCAAGAAATATTTAATGAAATATATCAATAAAATTTTTAAATTTTATGAATAATATTATCTCAATAGTCTTTTTTTATTAAAATTTTTATTTATATTGACATTTCATTCTCTTATATCTAAAAAAAAAAAGAATATTTTATTTTAATGATTAAAATACTATATGAAATATTTTATTATTTATTACTTTATTACTAATTATTTTATAATATATTTAAAATAAATATTTAATAATTAAAATAAATATTAAAATAATATTAAAATAAATATTTAATAATAAATATTTAAATAAATTGTTATTTAAAAATAATTTAATCTTAATATAAAATATAAATTATATTTTCTGCAAGTAACAGAAATTTTGTTTCTTTATACATGAATTTTTGTAAATACTTATGTAAGATTTATGTAAGTACATATTCTAAACAAGATATAGCATAAATTAGTATAGAATGAATATATATACTCTTATATATACTCATTGAATTCTTTATTTTATAGTACATATATCCATATATAGAAGGAATTATGTGGTATTTAAATGAGACATTAAATAATTATGTATATATTATGTAATCGTGACTTTGTGATAATTCACCCATTTATTAGTAAATTTCGCATAATTTTGAAATAGAATAAATAGGCGACGAAATTCGATACTATTAATCATTTTAGGTTATATTTTGTGATATTTGTTAATTAAAATATGCGCGCAACCATTGCAATATTGTGTGTTTTTCTTGGTTGTTGCAGTAATGTTGTTTTCTTGGAACTTCTTGTTAAGTCAGTATTTTACATTTTATTTTTTATGCATTATTTTTTTATATCATATATTTTTATTTTTAGATATTATTATATATTATATAGCTATTATATAGCTATATAATATATAGCTATTAACAATAATAATATAATAATTTACATTTTTCAATAATATAATTTTGAAATATGATATTGAAATCATTATTTATTAATAATGTATTCATCATCATTATATATAATAATAATAATATTATTATTTTTTCAGAGATGATCCAGGTAGTGGAAATCTTATTACATTTTCACAGTTCCTTTTCATATCTATAGAAGGGTTTTTATTCACTTCAAAATGTGGAACAATAAAGCCCAATATAGGAATAAAAGATTATTTTATATTAGTCACAATGTTTTTTGTTGCAAATGTTTGCAATAATTATGCATTTGATTTTAATATACCTATGCCATTACATATGATATTCAGAGCTGCAAGTATTATATTTATATTTAAATATAAAATATATCAATATCCAAATTTTTTAATAGATACAAAATCATATTTAATAATATGTTTAATAATTTTAGGGTTCTCTGATAGCTAATATGATTATGGGTATTATTATTTTAAAAAAAAAATATATCTTTAGTAAATATTTATCTGTATTTATGATAACTCTTGGAATTGCAATTTGTACTATTGTTAGTGGCAAAGAAATTAAATCTTTACAACCTAAAAATATTGAGCAAATACCAACTACACCATGGGATGATTTTTTCTGGTGGATATTAGGAATATCATTATTAACTATTGCATTATTTGTATCTGCAAGAATGGGAATTTATCAAGAAGTATTACATAAAAAATATGGAAAAAATGCGAGAGAAGCATTATATTACACGGTAAAATTTAATTTTTTAAATTATTAAAATTTCAAAATATCAAATTCTTTTCACTTAATTAGAATATGTATATAAAATTAAATATTTACTTTCAGCATTTATTACCTTTACCATTTTTTTTAACATTAACTTCTAATATTTGGGATCATCTTATATATGCCCTAGCATCAGATCCAATAAAAATATCAATTATTAATATTCAAGTGCCAAAATTAATTGTATATCTTATAGGAAATATTTTGACACAGTATCCTTTTATTAATATATAAATTATATAAAATATATTAAAATTATTAAGTATTATTAATTAAAATATATAATCAAATTTTAATAACATATTTATAATTATAATCCTTAATAATAATTTTAGATATATGTGTATAAGTTCCGTTTTTGTATTAACAACGGAATGTACATCTCTTACAGTAACATTAGTAATAACACTACGGAAATTTTTATCTTTACTTTTTTCTATAATATATTTCAAAAATCCATTTACAATTTATCATTGGATTGGTACAATCTTAGTCTTTACAGGAACAGTAATATTTACAGAAGTATTACCAAAAATTGCAGAAAGTTTACAATTTACAGAGAAGACTAAGAAAGTTCAATAATAAATAATATTATTAATTATATAAACAAAAATGTTATATGTTATATAATATAATTAAGGAAAACAAGATAAACATATCAATTAATACAATAATAAAAAAAAAATTATTTTTTTCTCTTTATTTAAACAATCTATAAGTTGTCTATAAAGCTTTATGATCTCATATAAAAATTTAGTTAATAAAATTAATAAAATGAAGAGATTATTTTCACAATATTAAAGTGAATAAAAAATCTCAATGAATTATAAACATCAAGTTTTTATATTTCCTTTATTTAAATGATTATTTTAAATGATTAATTTAAATTACACGCGTACAAAAAAAATCTATAAAATGTACATATTTTTTCTATTTCAAAAAAATATATCGTGATACGTGATATAGCAATCAATTTTTATTATGCATTATGATTAGATTTATTAATTATTAGATTTATAATATTATGCAAATATATTTTCATTATAAGATATAAAATATTTTAAATAGATTTTAATATTGATAACACAAAATTATTTTAACAATACAAGTATATTTTTATTTTATAAGATATACTTTATACAATACATACATATTTTTTTTATCTAGCAACAATTTAAGATTAAATTTCATTACGGATATTTATATATTATCATACATTTGCCGATAAAAGCTCATTAATCGCAAAGTTGTATTAAAAACCGAAAGAAATTTATGATTTCAAATTGATTTCAAATAATGATAAATCAAAATTAATTTTGAATTGCCATTTATACGAGTTTAATTATTTTGAATGGTACTAAATTTAGTGCCTTTAAATTTAATAATAAAAAATAATAAAAATTACATAAATATTATAAATATTCATATATGAAATATAATTCATGAGAAAACTATCTCTATTTGAGTCAAACACACTTTTTAAAAACATAACATATACAATTTCTGTATAAATGTACAAAAAGGTAAGAAAATAACACTAGGATTCAAAAAATTAAACTAATATTTTTCTAATGGCTAAAGCATGAAAAATGAATTGCAGTTTTACTTTACATTTTTTCTTTTTTTCTTTCTTTCTTTTTTTTAATAAAATTAATATATATGGTATTCAATTCTAATTTAATTTATATAATAATATGCAATTATATATAATAAAGATAATAACACTTGAAATTGGAATTTTATCTAATATTTACTATTCTTAAATTGGTCAACATGAGAAATTTAAGATTAATTTTTCGCTATTTCATAGTAAAATTCTGCAACCTGAGTGAAAGACATTTTCCTATAACTTAATTTTTACTTTTAAAAATATCGTCATTATATAATTAAAATATTTTAAAGAAAAAAAATATAAAAATTTCAAATTATTAAATATAAAACAATTATCATTATAATATATAATGTAAAAGTATCAAGTGAAATCTAAATAAGATAATTTTTAATTTTACAATTAATGTAATTAATAAAAGAAATATTTTAAAAAGGAGTCATCGAAAGTTGACAATGATTATTAGCATAAATTATATAATCATTTACATTACAAGATTCTTACAAATAGTTATCGCAGTTTTATCGAATTTTATAGATACTATTTGTAGTTATAGAGAATAATTATATTACGTTTAAGGTTTTTTTTTTGTACTATCGCTAAAGATTAAAATGGAACGGCTTCAGGTTTTTCAACAACTTTAAAGATATTCGATAATTCATCGACTAATGTTTCATATCGATAGGCCACTCGAATATCTGGTACATTTGTTCGAGTAATATCATTACCAGCCACACCCTCTTTAGTATAATTTGGCCCAAGCCAGTATTGTTTACTCTATAAAAATAAAATAAAAATATTTATATTATTATAATAATTTTAAATTTAATAGTAATAATTAATAGTATTGATTTATTATCTGTTAATCATTAGAATATATACCTTGTGTGGAAAACCACTCATAAGTACTGAATTTCGAGCTAGTTCACACATATCACATGAACTAAGTTTCCATACTTGTGCAGCAATACTATATTCTTCCATTAAAGGTTCCTACAAGAAAATATTATTACAAATTTAAATATGAAAATTATAAAAAAAAAACATACTTCAATTAAAACGATCTTTATATCATACTGACCTTAGTAAAATGAAATTGAAGAGGATCGTCTGTAGAAAGACTTATACATAATCCTCTAGCTAAATATTCAGGTAATGGATTACGATGATAATTTAAAAAAAGAGAATTATTACTAAGAGGTGACATTGCAATCCCAATTTGCGCTAAATAATATAAATATTGTAATACAGGCACTTTTCGAAGTAAAAGACCATGAGAAATATTTTCTGCCATCATATAACCACAGACAAGATGTTGAATGGGACCAGCTTCACCACAATGAGGTCTAAGAACAAAGGTATTTAAACCTTGTTCTCTACAAACAATATTTTACATTACATATTTGTTTATACAAACAAAAAAATATATATGTATCAATAATTAATATCAAATAATTATATATTGATAATTAATAGTAAAGACATATTTACGCTCTGAAATGATTTAGAACAGTCATGTTTGCATAAGTATAATATTGATAATATCCATAAGGAGGATTTTCAATATCATCCCATTCTGCAGGTGGACAAACGTCTTTGTCAAATAAAGGATTTTCGGGTTTACTTTCGTCATCAACGGAATCAAATCCTATTACCTATAATATTCAATATTAAGAATTCTGAAAATTATCAAAACTTGTTTGTTATATCTACTTACATATTGAAGGAATTTATGTAATTCTGGATGAGAATTAGGATCATTTGTCACTTCAAAAAGAGGAAGAAAGATATTGTTCAATATCTCTTGGAAGTTTGTCATCAATTTGTTCAATTTAAAAATATCACTATGAAATGATAAATATCAGAATATGATTTTACTTTAAATTCAACAAACTTCAATAATATATAAATATATTATAACTTACTAAAGTCGTGGAATTTGAATAAGCCAGCGTACATTATCCGAATATACATCGCTTTGAATTGCCCATTTTGCTAATTTGTCCCATTCTTCTGGACTTTTACCGTAAATCGAAAGACGTAACTCCGCATTTTGATATTTCGATTCTTCGAGATCACTGGCAACTTCTTTAATTATACTTGCGAAAAATTTACCATTTAGATAATTATCCGTTTTAAGAAATACTTCACGGAGACGACTTTCACCGATAGGATTATATTTAGCATTGAATTTATCAAATCTATGAAATGTATTTCTATCCTAAAAAAAGAAAGTTAAAAATAAATTTATTTTTAAAATTATTTTTTTTATATATGGATGAATTCAATAATATATTAAACTTACTGCATGTACATCCAACATATCAACACTAAGATCATAAGTTGTTAAATTCATTGATTGAAATACTTCTCGAAGGGTCATTGTTTCTTTATTTTTAGAACATGTTACAATTTCGTCTGCATGATTCTTTAAGGTTTTCTTAATAAATCTAAGCAGATGTTTTTGATTCATACAAGATGCTGCATGAATATGTGTATCAACCTGAAATCAATAACATCATTTTAATTAATAAATTATAAATTATTCTTCACTTTATTAATTGTAAATATTCATGATATGAACTAACTATAATGTAACAATTATTTATATTCTATTATTTATATTTTTTTCATATTAACCTTTCTGATATTATAGAAATCTCTATGAGGAACTGCTTTTTGACTGGCAAGTTCTCTAAGCTCATTCAATAACACATGTAGTTGGTATTTTGATGAAAGATAACTCAGTCTTCTATAGCAAAAGGATTTTAATGGACCATCGGCGATCATTGTACAAAGAAGATTCATGTCCCTGACAAAAGTTGCTAAATCAGGATATGAATAAAGAATTGGTTTTCCATCGGTGAGATCTTCTTCATTTGCATATACATTAAAAACACCATTGACAGGAGCAATTATATAATTCTTTGCTGGAGGAAATTCACATTTCCATGGATCTCCTCGAGATGCAGGTGCATGTACAGGATGATCTAATAAAATTTATAAAACAAATATTAAAATATCATTATTTTTTTTTTAATTTTTTGTATTAATATGGAAAGAGGATTAATTTTATATATTATATACATAAAATAATATAATTTAAAAAATTTTTCAACAAAGGATAAGAATGGGAGAAGGACCTTTTAAGACGCATCTTTGAGTGCATTGATGTCTACATCAGATCCATAATTTCATTTTCAACTTCTAACAGCAACTTTTACCTTGAGAAACAATACATTAAGTTGATTTTATATCATAAAAATTTAATATATCAAAAATATCATATGATTAACATAAAAAAGAATTGATCAAGGGATTGATAGAAAAAATTAAATGTTAAAAGAAAAATATAATTTCGTAAATTTGGAATAAATACCAGCGATAGCTTTACGATCATCATGTTGAACTTCATCGTCACTGCTCACTGGTCTTTTATCGATGCTGCGTAAAAACCGTGATGTTATAGAAGGAAAACTCTGTTTAGAATTATTCATGTATTTTTCACGTATTGCCAATGCTTGAACTAACATCTGGGACGCTTGCTGTAAATCTTCCAAAGGTACCTATAAATATATAATATTAAAAATTTTTTAATTTCAATATTATTTAAATCTCTTAAATTTTATTTTTATCATTTCTCTCTATTTTTTTTATTGTAAAAAGAAATTTTTCAATCATTACATAATACAATAGTTTAAAAATTAAGAAAGCTTTTTATAAAATGATGAAAGGTGGATAGAAGGGCAAAATAGTGATATATAATAGGGATTTCCTACATAAGACAACACTTTTGAGGTTTCTTCTCAAAGAGATCTCAAAAAGAACAGTCTTCTACGAACATAGATACATGTTATCACGAATAATCAATTGGTTCTATCGATTAAAACATCATTATGTTTTAATTACAAATCAATTAAATAATTGATAATTATATCTATAAATTTTAAGAGAATTGAAAAAATCAGCACTTATTTCAAATCCTTGGAGTAAAAAGTAATTATAACTTCATTTTATATGAGATATTTAATATATTTAAAAATCAATGAGAATTTTATATATTTTATACATACCCCGGAAGTATCTTCACCAGATATGGATACCCTCTGAAAGTGTGGGACAAAGTCATTTTCTTCGAGATTAAAGTGATGATCGACATCATCTGGTATACCAGGTCCGAGTGATGGTTCATAATGGCTACGACGTTCTTCTAAATCCTTGGCAGCTCTAAAAGAATATTCTAAACATGATTTTTTATTCGAAAAATATAGAAATTTAAATAATGATAAAAAGAGCAAAACATTAAATAGTTTATAATACAAAATATACAATATCGTATATTGATAACTATATGTAATTATATGTAAAAAGAATATAGAATAATAAATAATTTAAAAAAATGTAAAAAAAAATAAAAATCAATTTATTTATGTATTTAAAAAATAAAGGAATATCATAAATATGTTGTAATAAAAATCTAATTATATTCTGAAGAATATTGTCAAAATTTTGAATATTAATTTTTATAGAACATATTTTTCGTATAATCTTATAATTTTCTATAATTATACTAAATATTATAAAATTGATAAATATTTTTATAATAATTGATTTTGATATAAATATTACAATACAGTATTTATTCGAAATTTGATTCATGTGATAAATGTTGATTACCATAATAATCCATAAATTTGATTTTGACTACGTAGAAGTCTAAATTAGTAAAACGCATTTAGAATATGTTATATTTATCTCGTTTCTTGTTTGATATTTCCTCAGTTTATCAAAGTTTGTAGAAAATATATCTTCATATAAATACAAATATTACTTTTCTTACATAATAATTTTAATTATATTATTTTAATAATATTTACTTAAATATATAAATTAACATTACATAATCATTTAATGAAATAAAATAATATTATTTTAAATATACAGTTTTATGCAAGTTTTTTTTTATACAAAATACAAATATTTTAAATGTTTAAATGGTATTATTGTCAATAACAATAATGTAAAGTCGAAGTGATTGAACTGAAAATATATATATGCTAAAATAGCATAGAAAATAGTATATGCACGCAAATAGAAAATCGCGTACATATATTTACTGTGTATTATATTAACGATCCAAAAGTTAAAATTCTTTACGTTTTAGATATTTCATTCCTCATACAATATATTATTCAACAAGAATATATATTATATTTTAGATGATTTATTCTAAATGTCTCCATTGTATTGAATCTATAAAGACAAAAGCGAATAATAGCCACAAAGATCTATTATATTATTAGATATTCGAAATGATAAAATTTGAGATCAAAGTATTATACAGGACAAAATAGTGTCAAAACGATAGCAATCCTACATATATATATATATATAATTTCGTAAATATAATTAATAATAAACTAGCATAATTTCAACGAAATACATTAAAACTTAAAACTATATTAAAACCGTTGGAACCTATACAAATATTTTGGTTAACCATTTCAGGACGGATGATAGATTTAATAATATAAATTTTAAAAAATATTTTTTAATGATTAAGATATTTAGTTTTATTGAAAATTTCAAGTTCGTTTATTTGATGCAAAAATACATATCGCCTTTCATTAATTTGTTTTTTAATGTTTAAATTTTATTCAAAATGAAAAATCATTTAAATTTATCGAACTGAAACAAAAAAGTATCTATAATAATTTTAAAATTCAAATACACAATTATATATGTATACATATTGGATTTTATATTATTGGTTGTTTTGTAGTATATTATAAAGAAAAATAATAAAATCAATATTTAAAATAAAATACTTTCTTATAAAAAAAATCCGTCCTAAAAGGTTTAAGGGATGTGCAACCATGATGTGGGCATTTTAATTTACCTCAAGAGTATCCTATTATCCCTGAGCCATCGTTTCGACTCGTTCGCACCGGCGAACATGTTACACGTTCCTTGTCTCGTATTTTACGTCTGTTGCATGCACGCTGACAGCGTCCGAAAAACGAAATATTTCATAAGCAAATGTTTCTTTCTTATTATATACATTTTTATCTTTTTCTATTTATCGCAAATTCGATAAAAGTATGAATATTCCAAAAATATGACCAAAATAATATTTCAGTCTTTTTATCAATATATTTTATTATTTCATTGTTAATTTCGAATTTTTTTTAAAATTCGATAATGATTATATATTTTATTCCTTCAATCTAATTTAAAATTGAAGGGCCCAGTATAAAAAAACACGTAATATAATATATGCTATAATTTTACAGAAATTTTTAAAGAAAAACAAGTTATACATTATTTTGTTCAATGAATTTATATTTTTTGAAGTGCAACACATTTTTTCAATTAATGTAATAATTATATAATAATAATTATATAACAATAAAATTTCATAAATATGTTTATGTTTTTTTCTTTTTACTTGCATCATACATACTTAAAAAAATAAAACATAAAAATGAAACTGCATGTAAAAATTTATAAATTGTTTAATTCTTTTTTATTAATATAATAAATCTTTTAATTTTTAAGTTTTAATTATTTATTTGTTTTCGATATAAATTTTAATTTTTTTTTTTCTATTCATGAAATATTATATATCACGGTGTTAGAAAATAATTTAATAAATATTAAAATGCAACAATTAGTCGATATATATAAAAAAAATATGACTATATATATATATGTCTTTTTTCCATTCAATTTATATTTTTATATTTATAAGCCACTGTTGTATTGATATATAATTACAAAATATTTTTAATATGAAATTACAAAATAATATTAAATTATAAATTATAATTTCTCTATGACATTTCAATCAAATGATAAAAATTCGACAAAAATATTTAGCATCTATATATATTTATATAAATATTTAGAATCTATATTCATTTAATAAATTCTATTTTTACTTTAATATTAATAACATTAATATAATAACTTATCATAATAATATATGTATAATTTAATTTGTTTAATTATATGTATATATATATATAATAACTTATCATTAATAATATATGTATAATTTGATTTGTTTAATTATATATATATATATTTATATATATATATACATATACATATATACATAATATATATAATATAGTTTAATTTTAATACATTTATATGATATTATGCTTATATAGTAATTAGCAAGAAAAAGAATAAAACCATTTATAATATTAAACTAAATGAAATTCAAATAGACTAACAGTTGCATTAATCCATATGTTGTTACGATTACAAATACAAAAAGATAATTTGTAGAAAGAGAGAAAAAATATTACAATTTTTATTTAAGATTACATAAGAAACAATTTGATCATAATATAAAAAAATATGAATAAAAAAAATATACCAATGTTTATCAAACAATAAAACAAAATTTTTGTAACTATATACATAAATTTATTACGCGTAATCTAATGTTTAATAAACCTATACTTAATACTTAAAAATCTTAATAATACCGAATATGTGGCTACTAAACGTTTCACACGGAAGGAAATAATTAAAAAAACAAATGTCCGCACTATCAAAGAGCATTGCGTCAAATCATGCGTGTACGCGTATACATACATGTATACGTATCATTCACAAAATTCTTTAGAATTAGAGAAATGAATAAGGAAGAAATGTTAATGTTTTTGACCAACAAGGGATGAATTCATTTGTCTTATTCCATATTGTCCCTTTTCATATTCATGGATACATTTCCAACACGTAATTTGAAGATGCACGGCACAGTAAACGCACGGAGAGTATGAAATTTCTGTTAATCGATACGTTAACTCACATAGCCTGGCCTCGGAAATGCTCGTGGCGAGGTCATGAAAGGCTATCGTAAAGCCAACCAGGGGATCATGCGGTCGTCCAACACGAGTGTGATATTTCTTCGTGGTGGACCGGAAACGATCTACATTGCACGCAGTGCATACCGGCGAAAACTTCCTCCCTCCTCGATGGTTGCACGACTACTGAACGGCCGACCGTGAGAGCCACCCCTTCGCCGTCTCGCCTATCACTACCGCGCCACTACCATGCTGCGTAGCACTATTGTCACGTCGCAACCACATTGTTCTGACTACTTATATACTATGTATACATATGTATAACAGCAATATAATCTATATGTTTAATTTCCGTCAACGTAACCTTCCGTTGCATTTACTTCGATACTATGTTCATCCCAATTATGTGTATTGTTCTAATATAAATATTTTTTAAAATAGGTAACGGAAGATATACATATCCATTTTGTAATTATATAAATTTATTAATCATTTATTAATCAATTATGAAATATGTTTTATTAATATTGTTATATTAAAAATTAAGAATTAAATTATCTATTTTTATTTATTTATCAATTTAAAAAACTTTCTTTATTCAATTGATTATTTAGAAATAAAAATAAAAAAATTTAAATGATAAATAATTTCATGAAATTAAATTACAAATACCAATTTTATTATCGCATACTAGCTTTCAAAAAATCAATTTTGTTGCGTCACGACATTATGCTATGCGTAGCTTGATCGTTATAAAGAATACCATCATCGATCCTATTATCCGTAATCTTGTAATTAAATTATTTTCTCTCAAAAGTAAAATATTTCAAATACTTTTGAAAGTATTAGTAATCACGTTTATAACTTGTAATTAATTATAAAATTATTTTATCAAAA